CCGTGCGAAAACACTGTCGTGAGAAAACACGACCATGAGAAAACACGACCGTGGTGAAAACACGACCGTGGTGAAAACACTGTCGTGCGAAAACACGACCATGGTGAAAACACGACCATAAGAAAACACGACCGTGTGAGAACAGTTGATGAGTGTGAGAAGTGATAAACGTGACTGGGTGAGGAGCACGCACCTGTGGCGGTGATGGAATGACTATGTGGACTTGCTCGGTCATATCGACGGGCGAAGGGGCGCCGTCGCTCCCGCTCATCGAATCCTCGTCAAACGAGAAGTGGAAGATGTCCTTCTCCTTGCCGTCGGCCGTGCGGTGGTACGAGAGGGTGCCATCTGTGAGCGGAGGAGAGAAGCATATGACGTGACTACTAAGGCCAAAATTAAAAAAAATATTTGTTTGCCCTCACCCGACCCAGGCTGAAAAGTTTGGGTAGGTAAGCTTTTTTTTTACAAATTCAGCATGATGTCTACATGCTCGGTTGTGCTTGTGTGGAGATACCTTTTATGTTGAATGTTTGTTTGCTTGGTACATATAATGTGATTGCCTACAGATTTAGATAATGTACAGTGATACAATTTGTAAAAAAAAAAGAATGGGAAAGATCAATAAAAATTTCGGACCCTTTTTGGCAGGTCGGTCGGGTGATGGCAAACAAACAATATTTTTATCATGGCCTAATCTATTATCTGAAATTCTGAAAACCGAAAATTTCCCGAAAACTGAGTTTTTTCGTGGAGGTCGTCGGCACACCAAAGCTCACGTTTGGCTGCACAAGGTTAACTGCAGAAATATTAATGTGTTTGGCATTACTCATACATATTGTACAATACTGGTACAGTACTTGGCCTTTCAAAAATTGGGTTTTAGTACTGGCTAGTTGCAGGATATACGGCATGTATATCTGTACTGTACTACCATACACTTACCTTCTATTGCAGACATGAGGTTATTGTCTCACCTTCTCTTACAGACGTATTGCTATACACTTACCTTCTATTGCAGACATGAGGTTATTGTCTCACCTTCTCTCAATGATGTTTCGCTATACACTTACCTTCTATTGCAGACATGAGGTTATTGGCTCACCTTCTCTCAATGATGTTTCGCTATACACTTACCTTCTATTGCAGACATGAGGTTATTGTCTCACCTTCTCTCAATGATGTTTCGCTATACACTTACCTTCTATTGCAGACATGAGGTTATTGTCTCACCTTCTCTCAATGATGTTTCGCTATACACTTACCTTCTATTGCAGACATGAGGTCATTGTCTCACCTTCTCTCACAGACGTATTGCTATACACGTACCTTCTATTGCAGACATGAGGTTATTGTCTCACCTTCTCTCACAGACGTATTGCTATACACGTACCTTCTATTGCAGACATAAGGTTGTCATCTTCAGGCTCTAGTATGTGGGCATCGACCAGCTCCAGCGGGCCGGGACGCCGTGCAATCTTGTCATTCAGATGGTCGGCTAGCTTCGCTCGCTTCAGCTGTCGCTGCTTGTCCTGCAACGCTGGGTCGACGTTCGTGTCTACAAGGCAACACAGGGGCGTTAGATCAACGACACGGCTTTAATGCCAGCGACAATAGATTTACGGTAATCGACAACAGCCTTAGCGTAGACTAAACCAATTCTAATACAATTGACAGGGTTGTAAATACTGCAATCTACAGGAATGTTAATACAATCTATACCAATTTCCATTTCATCTACAGCAGTTTTAACTCAATCATCAGCACTGTTAATTAATCTGCAGCGTTATTGCATGATATTCAGTTTTAATGTCACGTGCACCAATTTTACCTAAACCTGCACCAGTTAAAATCAACCTGCTGCCATGTACAGTATTTTTAACTCATTCAACAACAGTTTTATCGTGACAGGCCCCCCATGTTGGCAACCCCCCTCCCACATCGTCGACCCCTACCCCTCCCACATTGGTGACCCCCACCACCTTCCACATTGTTGGCCCCCGCCCCCTCCCAAGCTGGCAATCCCCGCCCCCATCCACGTTGGCAACCCCCACCCCCTCCCAAGCTGGCGACCCCTCCCCTCCCACGTTGTGGCGACGTACCCTCGAGTATGTGGTGCTGCACAAGTTCTTGTCGATCGGGGCGGCGTTGTATCTTGTGCTTCAGCGTGTCGGCCATGCGCGCGCGCTCCAGCTGTCTGCGCTGCTCGTGAAACGCTGCCGGCGACTTCAGCGCTGCGAGCAAAACAAGTGAACGTTAGCAGGTGCTGTCCGAAACAAGTAAACGTTAGCAGGTGCTGTCCGAAACAAGTGAACGTTAGCAGGTGCTGTCCGAAACAAGCAAACATTAGATGATGCTTTTGGGACATTAGCCGATGCTTGAGAGAATTACCAGATATGGCATGACAACAGAGTCACTGCACACAGAACAAAATTGGTAACAAATCTACTAAAATGTTTTCACAGGAAAGGTTAAATGAGATGAGAGCATATAATTTGAATAATTAGGACAGAATGATTACTAGAGAAGAGAGTAAAAAATCCCTGCACTTACGAGGTATTATTCCCTGATCAACAAGTTCTGTAATCGTCCTTCTTAGCATCAACTTCTTCTTTAACGCTGTTGCAAAGCAGAAGCATGTTGATGGTTAGTAATTTTAACTTAAAACTGTCTCATTATTGTCGTCATTTAATCATTCATTACCTTCATTGCTTCTGCGCTTTCTGCTGGGTTAAGCAGCATGATTTAACAATACAGTAAGGCGCTGCATGTCAAAATACCAGCTGTTTTGGCATTACATTACAAAATTTACATTTACATTTACATGACATTTACATTACATTTACATTTACATTTACATTACAAAAGCCACTCACATTCCTTGTTCCGACCCATCGTCTCCTGCAACGATGTCTCCTCTACAAACACGTCAGGGATGCGCATCTGCAGTGGCGCCCCCTTGCAGTGCTGGTCGGCGTCGGACGGCCCCGCCATCACCGGCGCCTCATCGTCCGCCATCGTTGTTCAATTTCAAATCTACCTTCGGCGATGAATCTGTGAGGTGTAACGCACGACAGCCGGTCAACGACTTTTCACCCATATTAATCTATGAAATAATTATAGTTATTTTTTGCGAAAAAACACGTGCTAGTCAGATAGCGAGGAAAGCAACCCAAAAGTTAACGCGCAGCCTGCAAGCCCTCTCACCTACAGCAGCACTACGTTGCTGCCTCTCATTCATGCCAGGCTTGATGCGCACTAGCACGAGCGATGGTGGTCAACTACCACGCTAACGACTCGCTATTTGTGCGTGTGCGGGTGCGGTGTTCGTGTTCTACAGCACAGTCACACATGCGCTGATGTCATCATTGCCGCAGTGCTTACACTGACACGGGAAATGCACCTGCAAAAAAAAAACACGCGGCAAACTTTACAAGTGTAAAATGTAAATTCTCTACGCACATCAAGTCTACAAACATAATACTGATAGCACAGATGGTTATAACATTAACATTAAAGGGTACACACTAGGCGATTTTATCGGGCGACTCAGTCGGGCGACCCAATCGCCTGTGAAAATCGCCTAATGTGTCCAGTCAGTCGCCGCCGATTTAGTCGCCCGATTTAGTCGCCCGATTCAATCGGATCGATCAAAACGTTTTGATATTATGGGGCGATTATTTCAGTCGCGCGACTCAATCGCCTAGTGTGTCCGGGTCGGCGATTTAGTCGCCCGATTGTACAATTCATCAGCCAATCAGTTGTTCAATGATACTGACGTAATTAGACAAAATACGTGCGCGGTAGGTGGCGGTAGGAACTCGCCGTCAAAAATCGCGTAATGTGTTTACTTGACTCGCGCGATAGAATCGCATTAAAATCGCCTAGTGTGTCCGGCCCTTAAGTACAACTAGATAACACTGATATACATCAACTAAACAAACATAAAACTGATAACACGGGGTAATAAATCTAGAAAGGGCAGTTGTCGCCAACTACATGTATCCCCCATGATCTAGTATGAATGAAATATCTCTGCAAGGACGTAGAAGGTAGGTAAAGTTAAATAAGTCACAAAGACAAAGGTTTGTTACACAACTCATCTGCCTGAGATGTGCAAGTACGTTAAAATTGGTTGCCTTAGGGGTTTCGGTACGCGACACACCTTCTCCCCAAGATGTGTAAGTATACCAAGTTTGGTCGCGCTAGGTAAATTAGGGGCCGAGTTATAGAGCGAAAGGGAAATATGATCAAAGTCATTGTCAAGGTCAAATAAAGGTCGCAGTGACCTGGTTTTGGTACGCGACACACCTTCTCCCCAAGATGTGTAAGTATACCAAGTTTGGTAGCGCTAGGTCAATTAGGGGACGAGTTATTGAGCGGAAGGGAAATATGATCAAGGTCAAGGTAAAGGTCAAATAAAGGTCGTAGTGACCTGGTTTTTGTACGCTGCGCACCTTCTCCCCAAGATGTGTAATGCTAGCCGCACACTATACGATTTTGCACTGTGCACAGCACTGTGCCCCCGCACACTATACGCCCCGCTCCCGATCGATCGGGAGGCCCCCGCACAATGTCCGACTCAAAGTTGGTGCAAACCTTGGCACTCTCGTGGCGTTCCAAGCGGATTTAGCGTGTACTAAGGGTCGAGAGTGTTTTCCCGCCATTTTTACTGAATGCGGTTCTCATGGCGCTGCTCTGTGATTGGTAAATTTTCTTCAGCGCTCGGCGGCGGGTCGGATGGCCACGCACACTATCCGAGTCGCGTCGTAAGCCCTCACACACTATACGACTCGCTCCTCTCCCGATTCAAAATTCGAATCGGGCCAAAATGACCTCCTGAGCCAAACTTAAGCCTCACGATAGCGCCGCGCGAAAATCGTATAGTGTGCGGCTAGCATAAGTATACCAAGTTTGGTAGCGCTAGGTCAATTAGGGGCCGAGTTATAGTCTAGAGCAGAAGGAAAATATGATCAAGGTCAAAGTAAAGGTCAAATAAAGGTCGTAGTGACCTGGTTTTGGTACGCTGCGCACCTTCTCCCCAAGATGTGTAAGTAGACTATGTTTGGTCACGCTAGGTCAATTAGGGTTCAAGTTATGGAGCGGAAGGGAAAGTGTCTGCGGCGGCGGCGGCTGGACAGAATAGAACCATAGGACAAAATGAAACCATTGTGTCCCCGCCGACTTCGTCGCAAGGGATACAATTACTAAAACCTGGCGGTGGTGGATTGAATAGATAAAACTAATGCTAACCTTAAAAAAACAAGAGCCGCAGAGCGTCTGGGCTCATCTGAGGTCTGTTGCTACGGTTATAAACGTAACATTTAAAGCTAAAGTCACACCAAGCTCCCGGACCGGGCCGGAAGCTGCCGGACTGATCCGGGGAGAGATCCTGGTTGGGTACTGGATGGTCCTGGACGGTCCGGCCCGGTCCGGGGTGGTCCTTGATGGTCCTTGATGGTCCTGCGCATTCCGGGATATCGCCCCGGAAGTTTTACACTGTTTAAAATTTCCGGGGTGATCCGGGACGGTCCGGGAAGTTTTCCCCATCCGGGGTGGTCCTGGACGGTCCGTGGCGCGTCCGTGGTAGGTCCGTGGCGCGTCCGTGGTAGGTCCGGGACAGTCCGTAGTGGCACCGTGTTGAACCGGGCCCACACCGTGCTATCGTAATAGTTCAGCATATTTATATTCATGATGTTTTATGTGCTTGACGTCACAATTGAAGAATAGCACGTGATGTTTAGATGATAATGTTTATATATAAAGAACTAACAGCTGATTTGGGAACATGACTAGGGCTTGTTTTTAGCTCACCTTGACATCGTCAAGATGAGCTATTCAGTATTGCCATAGGGTGCCGTACGTCCGTCTGTCCGTCCGTCCGTCCATCAACATTTGGCTATGGG